AAAAAGCTCAGTGACAAGGAGGGGCAGTGTCTGCTAGAATAATGTAGGGTGTCTGGCTATCTGTCAGGAGCAGGGCTGAGGAATGTGGTACAGTTCTGGGGCAAAGCCTTAGTGATCGGGCCTTCATAACCATGATTATGCGTGTAAAGCAGGTATCAAAGCATAAAGGAGTGGAAGAGGCTTATAGGGACCTCTGGTCAGCCTAGGATGGTGGTGGCTAGGTCCCTCAGTGTCTCCAGACATTAGCCTAGGACAGGGTAATGAGATCCAGGAAAGAGTGGAGGTAACCCAGTCTTTCCTAGCCCTGGGCTCCTGGGTTAAGGGCAGGGCGGAGCCCATCCTCTCTAGGCTGGGCCTCTCTGAGGGTTCTCTGGAAGTGGGACTGAGAGGTGAGGTGTTTCCCCTGGCCAGCTTCTTCCAGATTTAGTGGGAAATCATTGTTGAGACTTGGGCTCCTCTACAGCACTCCAAGGGGCTGAGGCCTGGATGCTGAGGACAGTGCATTGTCCTAAGCAAGAGGTTGGGAAAGAGGGTGATCTGGGAAGCCTGGCATCCTGGTAAGTTTTGAGAATTCTGTGGGGCCTATTTTCCCTGGAGGCTGAGGTCTCCAGGCACAGTGCAGGTGACACTGTGTGCCCAGGGCCCTTAAGAAGCCCTGAGGAGCTGCATCCCAGTAGAAGGAGCCATTCTTGCCCTGGAGCCCCAGAGTGGGCCAAATCGAGGGTGATCTCATTTATTAGGGCTCAGACCACCCAGTGGGCATTTCTCTCCTGTAGGCGATGCCTCTGTGTATCTAGTGACTGTGCCCACCCAGAACAAGAGGAACTGAGTGCCCGATGCCCAGGAAGGTGGGAAGCATCTCTCTGCCAAAAGTCATCGAAAACTCACTCAACTCTCCAGGAACAGGTGCTTATCTGGCAGGAGTTGCTCTCATTTGGGCTCTCAGACCAATGAGAAGGGCCAGGGCTAATCCGCGCACAGACCTGAAGTATGGAGCTTTAGGCTCAACCTGTCATCGGGCAGAACAAAATTTCCTCACAGCCACAGGGTCCCCAATAAAATAGCATCAAGAAGTGACCACCTGTTATGTGCAGTGTCCCCACTTACCCCACGAGACATAATAATCCTCTGGAAAGGGCAGCAACAGGGGGCCAATGGAGTAGCAGCGGGGGGCGGGGGGAGGCCATGGTCAGCACTGCAGTTTATGAGGTAGTGTGAGAACCTCCCGGTGCCACCTCAAATCCTTGCTCTAGGAACACTCCCCAGAGAGGCTGAGTCCCCATTCCCCACTTCAGGGAGGAACTGAAGAAGCTCCTGGCAATGGGCTGCACTCACATACCTCCCTCAGGAGGGTTCCAACAAATGAGGAAAATCACTCTTCTGCTGACAGCAAGCCAGGGGAAGGACCTTCGCTTTCTGCTCAAGGAAGCAAGGAGCTCCTCACATGGCAATCAACTGTTTACTGGGTCAGACATGGAGACACTGTGGACTCGATAGTACATGCGAGTTGTACCAAAACACCAAAAACCACCCCCTCTCTGCCTCACCGGAAGGCTCCCACTGGCAGAGAGATGCTTCCCACCTTCCTGGGCAGTGGGCATCTTCATCCTTGGGGACAAAGAGCATTCCAGTGGTCACCATGGTGGTTACTTGAGGGCCCTAGCAGAGGCCAACTGTACTGTTTTTTTGAAGAGTCTCGGATTTGCACACTTTTAACATCCACCCCCCATCTACCAAGAAGCCTGGTGGGGTGAGTCTGTAGAGTAGCTACTGTCAAGGCTGCCTCTTCCTATCCTTTCAATCCTGCTCCTTGGCCTCCTGCTGATCTTGAGTGAAAAAGATCATTTTATAGATGATCTGTTCCTCATAGGTTATCTGGAGTATGGTCTGGTCCCACAACTGACTTTTGTGGCTTTCTCAAAATGAAAGGGTGGACCAGATAATGCATTTATCTCTCAGAATAAGCTGCATCTCAAGAGATTCATGGCAGGGAGGGGGGATTGGCTAGGGCTTCCTCTAGTCACTGGAGGTCAACTGAGGGAATCTTTCTTTCCTGGCATCACCACAGAGAGCTTGGAGCGGTTTAGAGGTTCAGGAAGTTTCTGTCTCAGAACACTCCTCCCACCTAGTCATTAGGGTCCCACTTGGGCTCTTCGTGAGGATCTGCTATGAACCCCAGCTGGGGCTCCCCTTGGTCATCGGGCAGGCAGAGTTCATCGCCATACAGCTGTGCTGCTCTCAGAGCTGCCTCTCCTGAGTCCGAGACAGTTTAATGTAAAAGACGCATCATGTCTCTTCAGAAAGATCATGCTTTTAGGACTGTTCCCTGAATGCCATATACATTTATTGGGATCCTGAGATCTTTCTCAGGTCTGATTTGATATTTCAGAGGTCTCCCAGGGGAAAGAAACATGAGCCCACATTGGGGTCCCCTCTGGCCTTGTCCCTGCCACCTGCAGGGGAAGGTAAGTGGACATCCTTGCTCTTATTCATGAATTGGGAGCTCAGGAAAGGGCAGACAGAAGGGCTCCTAGGTGGATCTCCCTGGAGTGGGTGAGGGCAGCAGAGTCCCGCAGGAGATATTTTGGGATAAGGGACCCCTCCCAAGGTCAGAAGGTAAGGGCTATCAACAGGGCCGAATCGCTGCATGACCTGCACAGCTCAGAAGTGTCCCTCAAAGCAAAGAAAGCCTGCACATAGGGCACTTTGAGACATTTACCTTGCTTTTGACAAAATAGGTCTAGTTGGAGCATTTCACTGTAACTGATGCTTCCTCCTACTGGCAGCTTTTCTTCATCACCCCAAGGGCAGCCTCACCAGGTGTATGGACAGAAGATTAGCCACTTTTCCTCCAAGTCCTAAGGGTCAAACTGTTCCTGCTTCTTAATGGTGTAGTCCTATGGGGAATGTCTTAGTGATTTTTCTGGTTACAGAGACAAAATACTCAACACCCAAGGTAGGGGAGAAAAGGTCTTTTTATCTCAGTTTGTAGAGGTTTCAGTTCATAATCATCTGGCTCCAAGGCAGGGTGGCACATGGCAAGAGGCAATCATTCATGGAGGTGGAAGACAGCAAAAGCAACAAGACAGAGAGAGACAGAGAGAGAGAGACAGAGAGAGACAGACAGAGAGAGAGAGAGAACTCTTTCTGTCCCTTATATTGTATGCAGGTTATCCTATTGTATGTACTCTAGGGTGGGTGTAGCACTCACACTCTTAGTCTCAGAATTAGACCATGAATAAATCACAAACTCTAGATTCAACCACTTCTGAAAAGCCCACTCCCCATGACTGCATAAGGCTTTGGAGGGACATCCAGACACAAACCACAACAGAGAGAGAACCAGAAAGCTCTGAGTCTCAGTGTCCCCATCTGTAAGAGACATGGTAAGGGGAGAGACCCCCTGCCATTCCCTGTTGCTCTCTCTTCTCCACCTCTCCCTGCTCAAAGCAGCAAGGGAGGGACCCCCTCCATGGGTCTATGTGTGGTAGTCTCCCGTGTGCCGGTAAGTCCCAGAAGGGGCACCCTGAGCCTGCTCCCCATGACGGCTAACTAGGTCTGGATGACATACATTTTGAAGGCTTCTCAGAAGTCACAAAAGGCCCTTGTGAGGGTTCTCCCCAACCTCCAGTTGGGAGGGACAGGGATGCTGGGTGGTCACTGCCTGAGGGGTAGGAGTTTTTCTCTCAGGAAGTAGAGGAATTGATGAATATGGTCTGCATAGGAAAGGAACCAGTACTAACCTGTATGAACTAACCTGACTGAAACTCAGAGGCAGGCCCACCCCTTGACCTGGCATCTATGAGAGAGGGTCCAGAGTTGGCTCTGAAAGGGCACTGGAGAAAGTTCCAGACCAGAGCCACAGACAGCCCCAAAGTGTTGTCATAGGACCAAGGCCTAAGGACTCTCCCCCAGCCTTAGCAAAGGTTTATGAGAGGGCTCTGACGGAGGGACCACGGGTCACCCTGAAAAGACGACACATGGAGAGCGCCTCACCTCACAGAGGCGTGCAGGCTGCATACAGTAGGCTGATGGAGGTTTCTCATGGGGTGATCAGGACCAGACTTCCACCTTTGAGTGCCCACCAGAGAGCAGTTCAGTCAGACTCTCAAAGTTGTCACCCCAACTTTTACAAATTTCACACATCCAGAATCTGCCTCAGAAAGGGACCCAGCTCACCCCTGTCCCTGGGAGTCAGTAGAGCACTGATTAGAAGGTGGCTGCCCCCAGTCTCCATTGCTGACCCACTGGTAGCTTTTAACTGGCAGAAAGATACAGAGACAGGAAGAAAGAGAGAGAGAGAGAGAGAGAGAGGCAGAGACAGAGAAGGAGAGAGAGAAAGCGAGAGGAGGAGAGAGATCTGACCACCCCTCCCCATACTTAGCTCTCCACAGAGAAGTCAAGCTCCCTGTTAGACACCAAAAACACAACCAGTTTTTCCCTCTGGGCTCTTGAGGAATGAGGCTGGCAGCATAGCAGTGGAGAACAAACCAGATGTGGTTTATTAGAAAGAATAAAGCAAAGTTGAGGTTCTAAGGGAAGACACAGAAGCACCTGCATCTAGGGGCTCATATGCAGCCTTTAGTGTATGAAACAGGTAGTTTGCCACTGGCAGGTGTCGCCAGATGCCAGGTGTGTGGAAATGCAGGTACGTAGCTGCCACTGTGGCTGGGCTCCTCGTTGTCCTCAGCAGACTATCCCCTGCATTCCAGTTTCCTGAGGCTTGTATATCTCGTTTACCCATGCCTTCAGTTTACTCAGGTCTCTGTCCCAATTGCCTACATCCCTCTATCTCCTAGTCTCACTTCCTGACCCTACTTAAATTATTTCTGATACAGCTTTTGAACTACGTGCTAAAGAACCTCCGAAATGCTTGGGCTGTTCGTCACATATCTTCTGGGAGCATGGACCATTTGGCGTGTTTCAACAGATCCTGCTTAAGGATAAGTAAGCAGAGGTGACTCTGCTTAATTATGGGATTATTGTTTCTTCCACCACAGGCACCAGTGGCATGGCGACCTACCCAGAGGAGGCTGAGCTGGAGACCGAGTTCCCCGGGACCACATTCTATGACTATGAATTTGCACAGCCTTGTTTCAAAGTCAGCATCACAGATCTTGGGGCCCAGTTCCTACCCTCTCTGTTTTCCCTGGTATTCATTGTCGGCCTCCTGGGAAACATAACAGTCATAGTGGTCCTCACCAAGTACCAGAAGCTCAAAATCATGACCAACATTTACCTGCTCAACTTGGCCATTTCTGACCTGCTCTTCCTCTTCACGCTTCCCTTCTGGACTTACTATGTTCACTGGAACAAGTGGGTGTTTGGCCACTTCATGTGTAAGATCATCTCAGGGCTCTACTACGTGGGCTTGTTCAGCGAGATCTTCTTCATCATCCTGCTGACCATTGACAGGTATCTGGCCATTGTTCATGCCGTGTTCGCCCTGCGAACCCGTACTGTAACTTTTGGTATCATAACCAGTGTCATCACCTGGGTTCTGGCGGTGCTAGCTGCGCTCCCTGAATTCATGTTTTATGGGACTCAGGGGCACTTTGAAGTCTTATTCTGTGGTCCTTCTTACCCAGAGAAGAAAGAACACCACTGGAAGCGTTTCCAAGCTCTCAGGATGAACATTTTTGGCCTGGCACTCCCTCTGCTCATTATGATCATCTGCTACACAGGAATCATTAAGACCCTGCTGAGATGTCCCAGTAAAAAAAAGTACAAGGCCATCCGACTCATTTTTGTCATTATGGTGGTCTTTTTTGTGTTCTGGACACCTTACAACCTGCTCCTCCTTTTCTCTGCCTTTGATCTGTCCTTCCTGGATGACTGTGAGCGGAGCAAACAGCTGGACATGGCCAAGCACGTGACAGAGGTGATCGCCCACACCCACTGCTGCATCAACCCCATCATCTACGCCTTCGTGGGGGAGAGGTTCCAGAAGTACCTGCGCCACTTCTTGCACAGGAATGTGACCATGCACTTGAGCAAATACATTCCCTTCTTCACCAGTGAGAAACTGGAAAGGAGCAGCTCAATCTCCCCATCGTCAGGGGACCCGGAACTCTCTGTTGTGTTTTAGATCCACTGCTGAGAGATTCCTAAGGATGGACTGGGCAGGAGAAGCCGGCTACATCAGCCTCTTGGCCAGTGCTTTGAATGTGCAGCACAACACTGAAGCTTTTGAAGTCCTTGCAATACATACAATGGTGCCAGAACATGCCCACCCCAACATCATCACCAGAAGCCATAGGATGGGCAGTTTCCTCCAAAGAAACCTCTGCTTGATTCCCTGAAGAGTTACCTAAATTTTCATGCACCTACCAGTTAGTTAGTATGCTTGGCTGCAAACAGGTGACATATCTTATAACTTAGAGACTTACTTCTGCCAGCTACTGGCATAAATGACGTAATTGCATAAAACACCATATTCTATCTACTTGATTTCCTTTCTCTGATTTGTGAAAGGCTTTTGTGAGTGTGAGGTGGGGGATTGTATGTGAATAAATTTTCCCAAGCAACATAATAGCATGCCATACCACTTCTAGATATTCTTAATAGAGACTCACATCCAGTTTATAACAAACTACCAGATTTCTCACCAGTGACTCTCACAGGCCAGGAGAGTGCACTCTGTCCTCTCAAATGCCGGCCTCTTATAGTAGAGCAGGTCAAGGGCCTCCCCTACACATGAGTTCCGTGAGCGGACAGGAGCAAGGTCAGGCTCAGAAGGGCACTAGCTCAGCAGCTCAGTGGCTCTCAGCCTTACTTTGGGACCACACTTTGAGAAATACTGCTCTGGCTAGAAGGCTCTTAGACACACTCAGGATGATCACGAAACTAAAGATTTCATGGTGGTCAGACAGTAGTCAGAGGGAGACGCCAAAAGCCCCGTGGATGCAGCTATGCTAACGATAAAGGATCGATAAAGGATAGTCAGTCACCGTGGTGCACAGTTGCTAACGTTGTCTCCACCGCTAAGTGGTCTAGAGAGGATTTCCAGTCCTCCAGTTTGACTCAGCTAAGCTTTGCTTGAGTGTCAGTATTTCACACCTTGTACTAGAAGCTGTGGGAGGCACAAAATGAATGGAACCTGGGAGAAGCACATCCTAAGGAGGGAAATACAACTTTTAAGTGTTTTTTAAAAGGAACAGCCCAGGTCCTCATTTCTCTTTCTTCTTGCTGTTTAAGTCTTCTTGGGAAAGAAGGAAGGTCTAAATTTCTGTTTAATGTTTACCTTGCACTAGCGAGCACGTTTGACAGTGTCAAATGAGCCACCAGGTGTTCATCCGGCTGTCAGGTGAGACAGGGACACGAGGTATACATCTTCAGTGAAGATGCAAAAATATATGACAAGCTATGACAGCTGAGCTTGTTACCATGATCAACTTGGGAGCTACCTAGGGGATTTGCAAACCACATTTCTCAGTGTGGGGGACCTGGGAACTATGCCCAGTCCTTCGTTTATTCTTCTCTGATGCTGTTCCTCTGTTTTGCATCCTCATCTCCATGAACTAAGTAGCTTTGCTCTGCCACATTTTTCTGCCATGATATTTTGGCTTGGAGCCAGCTGAACATGGGTGGAATCCTCTGAAGCCACCAGCCAAATAAATATCTTGACACTAGTGAGTGTCATGTATTCTGTGCAGAAATAAGAAAACTGACTACTATAGAAAATTAGTAATGAGAGTGTGATCATTGCTGTGTCTCTATGTGACCATGTGGCTTGGAAGCCTTTGGAACTGGTTTGTGGAAGGAGTTTGGATGGGCTTGGAGATTTGACCTAGAGAAGCCTTAAAATTCTGTAAGAGCTTGATGGATAAGCTTGATAGTAAAATGCTGTAGAAGATTTATGCTCAGAGTTCTGAAGACCAGAATGCTGATGGAAATGCAGATAATCAAGGTCAGGCTCAGGAGGTTTCAGTTAGGAATGAAGACCTTATTTGGAAGGAAACTAAAGGTCATGAGCGATACACTCTGGGAAAAAAATTTTTTTTGCGGTAGTTTGTACACGTCCTGAGACTCTGCCCAAGGCTGGCATTAAGGATGGTGGGTTCACTGATCTGCTGGAGGAAATTTCAAAACAGCCCAGTGTTCAAGCTGAGTCATGAGTACTTCTGTCTGCTTTTTAGCCAGATTTATAGTGAGAATTAGGAACAAAAAGGAAAACAGAAATATTTGAAAATGTTACATTTTAGCCTGAAGGGGACCATTTGTAAAGAGATTGGTACTGTAAAAAAATAAAATAAAATTTTAAAAACCCAAATATTTTTAGCAAAGACAAAGACAGATGCCTAGAGGGCATCTCAGGAATCAGCAAAGCTGCATCACCAACTATACAGCAAGGCTCAAGGTACAAAGATGTAAGGCTTTCATTTGAAAGGAAAGTCTCTGGGGTCCCTGTTACAGAGGGTCACCTAGGGAATTGGTTCTCCAGGATTCTGCTTCATGAACTCAGTCTTTCAGGCAGTCAGAAGTCACCGCAGCCATGGCTCAAGAGGGTCTGGCTCCTGCACATACTGGTGGTGGACCTTGGGTGTACTTGTCAGGTATTCTGTCCAGGAACTGAAAATCTGACTAATACATAAATGCAATCTCTGTTCCCATGAAGCTTTCAGTCTAATAGGAGTTACAAGATAGTGTTGGAGCACATTGTATGATTAGTAAGGCACAGTTATAGAACAACAAACTTATAGACGTTATAGCAAATTAAAATCAAACAATAGCCTCTGCCGATGTTATTGCTGCCTGTCCTGTAGCTAACCTGCTAACTTCAGTCAGCCTTGACCATCTGGGTCCAGCTGCTTTCCTTCTGATAATGTGCTGGGTCAATTTGACTATTCTCAATTTGTTTCCCTTAATTAAGCAAATATACTGCTTCTAACTGGCTTCAAGAACTTTGGTTTGGGTAAAATAAAGATACTTTTTAACTCTGCTTGCTCAAGTTGGACTCCCTGCCCTCATCTCCAAGAATTTCCTATGATAGACAACTCCTTTTAAGCAAGTGTAATAGGGTAGTTCATCTGACACTGTATGACTTAATTCAATCATGTAACGGCTTGTACTTCCTGCTTGCAAAACCGCCTCAGTGCTGATGATTTGGAACTGAGATTCCCTGCTAGCATAATAAAGTTGTCTTCTAACTCCAAGTGCAAAGAGTCTTCTGTTCAGTTTGATACTAGTTTTTCTGCAGTAGGAGCAAATGACTCCAGTGCAAAGAGACAAACATTCACTTCCTATGAGCTAGGAGGGGAAAAATCATTTCCAGTGGGAACTTGAGAAGGAAGAGTCCACAGAGGACGTGGCTCCTGAGAAGTCCTCTGAGAAGCAGGCAGGGAAGGGAAAGGGAAAGGGAAAGAATTTGGGGGAAGAACTTTAAGCCAAGGAAAAGGTGAGGTAGACAGTGTGTATATGCGTAGGCAGCAGAATGTGAGGGACAGGGTGGCGTGGGTCATGAATTTCAAGCAAAGAATCCTGGGCTTTGTTAGGAAGAAACAGGCACGGAGGAGTAAAACAGTAAATGCTGTGCACTAGGAAGCTGAATCTGTAACATGTGGAGTGTGGGCTGAGAACCCAGAACTGCGAAGGGAGGTAAATTAGGAGCTGAACGCAAATGTGGAGGCAAGGAAAGATCACGGCTGCTGAGAGTGGCGCCAGGAGCTGCCAGACAACAATTCATCCACAAAATGGGATAAAGGAAGAGTCAAAGACTTAGGAGCAATATATGGGTGGTTGTAAAAGTCAACAGACAAGACAGAGCATGAGTGTACTGCTCAGCTGTGTGTTACTACAGCGACGTGCCCGAGGCAGTTCTCTATAAAAGAGAAAAGGTATTTAGCTCAGGCTCTGGAGATTCCTGTTTAAGATCCAGCAGCTCTGAGTTTCTGGTGGGTCTTCGAGCAAGAGCAAAGAGCCCATGTGGCACTGAACCTCTTAGATCGTGAACCAGGAAGCTGAGCAGAGAGGATGCACCGAGATCCATCGTCCCTTTAAAGCCTAGGAGGGTGGTCCTCTATGCCTTTTGGATTTTGAGCCATGAAACACGCTACTTATTCAAATAAAACCTAAGGATTATATTTAAAACATAAAATGCTATGCTGCCAGGCTAGTGTTCAGCTGTGGCTTTTCATTCCTTCAACCTGGCGCAAACCCTTTGACTACTTTTGACTCCAGTTTCTTTATCCACGTAGTAATGAAGCAGGATTGGGTCTTTAGCAAGGGGACCTTGCTATCGTATCAGGAGCTGGAGGTACATTTGCCGATGTTCACTGGGGTGGATTCAGGTGGTGCCTACTCCTTTGGTCATCTGCTTATATCAATTCATTCATTCAGCAAACACTGGCCAAAAGGCTCAGCTACATCCTTAGGGAACAACCCTGAGTATACCATAGACCCCACCCTCAGGGCTCACTGCCACCTTACACTGCACATAGTTTTTGTCCCCCTCTGCCAGGGTTCAAAGCCAGGGCTTACAGAGGAATTGCTGACACTTAATTTTAGCCCAAATGAGAGAAACTTCCACGTCAAAACCAGAAAACACATTTCCCTTCCCAGCCAAAAGTGCGGAGAGGTCTGCGCAGGTTCTCAGCTGTCCATGCTGTGGTCCCCAGCCTTAGTGAGTGGCCCTGATGTCTCTTACTATTGTCCCTACCTGAAAGCTCTGCTTGGGGACATACGAGGTGAACTCTGGAGCATTCTAAACTGCGCCACGGAATCTCAAGTTGGCTGGAAGGCTTTGAAGTACTTTTCTCTTTTTTGTGGTTCAGCCAAAATATAAATAAAACATCCTTTATAGATTTAACTCTAAGCCAGCGGTTCTCTCTTGCACTCTGAAGTTGCATCTGCCCGTGGGTAACCACAGCGATGGGTACAGGTGCCTGTGTATACCCAGAAGCTTTCAGGAGCTTGGAGACCCACACAGAGCTGCACACAACCAACTCATGAAGCCTGTGGGCTCTGCTCGGCTCCCAGCTCAACTCTGTCCCATAGCACGATAGGCAAAGATGGAAATATTTTGAAACCAGTCTGGTTATCACAAGCCACAAGCAGCTATCAAACACACAAAAACGTAGGTTCTACGACTGGAGAACTGAATTTTACAATTGTATACAATTTAGGTAACTTTGGGTTTTAAGCTAAGTAGCTGGTGTGGTCAGCACCTACCACTTTTGGTTTGGAGTAAAGCATTGGCTGCCTTGAACTTGCCCCTGGGACATTGGGCCCTTTCCCTCCCCGCACAGGAAGCTTCCTGCGGCCAGCAAACATGCGACCTGGACCCTGTGTGACCCAGGAGGGAAAGGCGGCTGATGCAATGGTAAAAACATGTTTCTAGAAACCCCACTTGCATCTGACTCATGGGATTTATAGTAATGAAATGAGCGGGTGCCCATGGGGCCCTGCCGTGGAATGCAGGGTGGGGACCAAGGGAAAGGGACACAGCGAAAGTGACATTCTGCCTCAGTGGGGTTCCCTGGGCTCAGACCCTGAGTAAGAACTTGAAAGCAGTGAGTTTATTGGAAACAAGCAGGGAACTCCAGGCAGGACGGCAGGAGCTGATGCCAGCAAGGGGGACACAGGTGAGTGGGGCAGGGGCATGGGGTTAAAGCCACTGGAAATCTTCAGGGTGGTCACACGCGGCCAATTCTCTCACTCAAGGGCTAGAAGAGCCAGGGTGCTGCATCCCGCTCTTTCATCGCCTTGTCATGCACAGGGTTTCTGTGCTTTTAGGGACTGTCGCCAGCTGCCTCTGTGCTGCCACAGCAGACCAGCACTTGGCCCAGAGGAGCCCTGAAATAGTTACTGTCTTCTCCCCTACAGAAGACGTTTCCTGAGCCCCGATAACCCATGCCCCATAGCCTTTGGTCTCCATATGCACAGCCACGCCCAGAGAGACCAGTGGAGGAGAAGCCAGTGCTGAGTAACCTTCCTGTCAGTTCTGCCTTACCCCCTGCAGTCCAAAGGAGCAAACTAGAGCTAGCCTGTGTGCCAGCCCCAAAGGTTCACTGATGCAAATGCCAACACTGATGCAAATACCAAGCTGTCACACAGATGTCACTGCAACAGCAAGATCCATAGATGCCAGCTCCAAGGGAGACAGAATTCGCACTAGAACTCCAAAAGCAGATTTCACCATTCTCCACAATCAACACCTACCCCTACAGGGAACAAAGGGATTGCATGATGGAACTAGGGGGTGCTTGGAAAGGCTGCTGAGGCCCAGGAGTGCCACCCATTCTGCACAGGAAGAGAGGGACGGAAGCAGGTGGGCACCCACTTCTACCCTATGACAGGAAAAAGCCAGGTCAAGGGGGATCACTTGAGGGCTGGGTATGTATGAGTCATCATGGCTAAAACAGGCACCAAGTTGACTCAGACCCTGGAAATTTGGAGCCCTGAGCCAGGTGGCCTGCTGTGCAGGAGCTGCAGTGGCCTCTGGGCTGAATGCCTGTGTACTCTGCAGTTTATTTTTGTCAAGAATGTGTAATTCTTTCCCATAGGCCAGAGAAGGCAGAGCCGCAGGAGGCCTTGAAATCTGATCATGAGGATGCCTGGCTGGGGCTGCTCTGCAGGGACCCACAGCAGTTGAGGGTGCAGTGGATGGTGGCCGGAGTCACAGGAGGAGGAGAGGGACAGGCAGGGAAAATTCACTTCCTTAAATCACAGGGAAGTCTCCAGGGTCCCACCAAAGCAGCCCACTTAGGCAAAGCTCACCTCTGCCACACTGACCAGAAAAGGTGATAGCTGATGACAGCCCGAGCCTCCCTGCCTGCGGACTTTCCTCCCTTCTCCCACTCAGCTCAGCAGGGGGTTCAGCCAGAGAAGGCCTGCAATGTGGGTGGGGAGAGAGCTGGGTAGGACTAGACCACTGCTGTCTCCAGCAGGTCACAGGTCACCATCCCTGGGCCACCTGGGAGGGGGAGGGAGGTCTAAATGTCAGACAGTTGAGTTTGTCTCACATAGGGTGACACTTCCATTTCTGAATCAAAACGCTGTCCTTCTGTGACTTCAGATGACCCTGGGGCTTTTTGTACCTGAGCACCATGACAGAGGTCAGAGGACTGCCTGGGCTTTCACTCAAGGCGAAGGATTGAGTGCCTAATTCCTTGTAAAAGGACTGTGGATGCAAAGGTAAAGTCGTTACTCGTAAGTCCTGTCCTTCCGTACACTGGGAGCAAATCAAAACCCCCAAATTTCAGTTCTTTGAGGTCCAGGTGCAACTTCCATGCATTTGCATCATTCCTCAGAGGTATGGACTAAACTCTAAATGAAACCTAGGAACCGAGATTTTGCCTGTTTCAGGGTTAGCTTTTCCTAACCACGCATGGCTTGGCCCATTGGGCACTGCCACTCGCCCCTCAGCAGGGCTGCCTCATGCAGTCTAGACTGTGTGGAGCTGAGGGGAGGCGCTCCCAGTTGGTGGACACGATTTCTCCTGGCCCATTGGGCTGGGCCCAATCCTCCGCAGAGATTCCGGCCACAGCAGGAGATGTCAACACTAGGGGGCGCTGGCCAGCGGAGCGGAGGTGGAGGGCAGCCACGCCCAGCCCTGCAGCGGAGTGCGGGCTGCGCTGGGTGTGAGGTCAGATTTTGATGCAGTCACAGCAAGATCTTGGAATGCTTAAGTCTGAACTCGTCCACCTGTGTCACAAAACTGTCAGGACTGCCATGGTTCCCAGGAACTGGACACAAGTCCCTGCCCTTGCTCATCTCAGGGGCTAATTCTCCCTTCTCCCTGCTGCCCTCTTTGTAAATGGGCCTCCTCGAATCAAACTCTCCCCAAACTGCCCTGTTTAAGTATGACAACTGTTTCCTGCTGGGACCCTGAATGACCTCAGGAGACCCTATATAGCACAGGAAGGGAAATTAATCATAGAGAGAGAGATCCAGGAGGGACAGGGAGGTGTCTAGGGAGGGCTTCCTGGAGGAGGAGGAGGACCAAAAGCAGAGGCAGCTGCGGTGGGGACAGAGCATGCTCAGGACCCATAGTCAGCGTGGGCCAGAGAAATGGCAGGCTGGGAGATTGGAAAGCATGTGTGGAAGCAAGGGCTCTTCGGTGTCTGAATTAAGACCTCAGACGCTACTTCCCCATGGGCCCTGGGGTGTGACAATGCTCAGGACAGGAGCTGGGTGGGAGGTGGCGTCTACTGGG